TAGAAAGGTTTTGGTGGTTAATTGTTGCCCAATGATTCATTATATATTTTCTTTTAAAAATGTATTAGTCAGTTGTTTTTTTAAATTTTCACTGATTTGACTCTTTTTAATGATAGCCATTTTCTGTCATCTCTTATTGAAGTATCACGTATCGTTTTACCTTTCCTCCTCCCTTCTTTCATATTTAATTGGATTGTTTTTACTTTTTCATGCCACATAATGTCTACATAGTATTCTTTTGTTTTTATCTTTGGATCAGTCTTARATTGAAAAATAAACATGTTGAAATCTCAATAGCAGGTAACTAAGCTTCCTTAGYTAGCTCTGCTGAATCTTCAGTTGGTTGTTCAAGAGGGATACAAGAGTCCAATATTACCTAGATTCTTGCAATAGTTAAAGCAAYTTCTTTTCACAACAACCTACATATTTGAATGCTTGGTTCACATTTTCTCTCCTTGTATTTCTTTGAAAATGTTGAAAAAATAGATGCTTTGCTCTTTGAGCTGCTTTGGAGCAGTTTGACAAGGATCTAACTGTTGTGCCATTGTAAATTTTTGATCTTTTCCACGAAGCCCGGAAGATTATTTTTKTGTGTGTGATTTAAGTCCCTTTTTTATTGTGAGAAAATATTAATAACATAAAATTTACTATTTTAACTCTTTTAGGTGTATGTTTTAGGTGCTTTAAGCATTCACACTGCCATCAACTCTGTCCRTCTCCAGAACTTATGACAAAGGTCTTGAAAAGATGGCTTTTGAGTCAATCTCACCAGGTAATTAATAACTATATCAGCTTCTCTATGTGGGCCTTTTGATTTCAGAAACTCTCTTTGGAATGTAATTTTGAACACATTCTGTTGCATTTTTTTTTTTTTGCAACAAATTCCACTTACATGAGTAGTATTTTGGTCTGTCTTCCATTTTCATCATTTTTCTTTTTTTGACTTTCATACACAAACTCATCCTTTTTTATTACATTCCTGCTTTTACCCAATGCAATCTGTTTTTCTTTAGTTGTCTTGGAATCTGTTCTTCATATAGGTATGATTTAATGCTTATATGGGTTTCCTGAATTTAAAAGATCTTTTTCTCTCTCTTTTGCATTTCTATTCTTCCACTTTGAATTGCTAATTCATGAAGGTTTTTTTTCTTAATAGTGCAAAATCTTGTTGGATAATATTTAACTCAATATAGTATTTTGTTAAACCTTTCTACCTCTCCATCCCCCTCCCCCTTTCTCTTTGGAATTATCAGTTTAGTACTTTAATAATCTTTTTATTGTAGAACTTTGTGTAGATGAAGACTGCTGGCACTTCTGAATCTGTGCATGGAATGGGTAATTGGGAGTTCATTATGAGGTCTACCTTAGGGTATGTCTTCCTTTTTTAATGTATCAAGTATTATTATTCAATCACTATTCTTTTTTTGCAGAGACAGGATTGGTATTTTGTGCCTTGGTGTTTTTTCTTAGAGTCCTATATTTCCCCCTCACACTTTGATTTCTGCACTATAGAGTTATTAAAGGGCATCCTCTCTTCTCTTTACATTACTCTTTCCAGATTGATCATCTCTCCGAAATTGCCTGGTTCTCCCACATCTTTTATGTACTGCCTTGTGGTCTACTCTGACCTTACAATTTACTTTTTAAAAGTACTATTTCCCCTTATTCGAGCCGTTTTTCCTGAAACAATCTTCCTTTCCCGAGGCAATCTTTCCCATCTAGGGCACTCAGTTCCCTTCTTCTTGCTTCTGGGCATCCATTTTCCCTTGATACTGCTTGGCCCTTCACGCAGGGCTAGGGAATCAAAATCAAGAAATTTTTCCCTCAAATTAATGCTTTGACTTATTTCTTTTTCCCCTAATTTGAAGTCTGTGATGGCCTCCATCTTAGACATATTTTCAAGAATAGAATTTGTATAGTTTCATATTTTATTTTTTGGCCTGTGTATTTCTTAGGGAATATGTTGGGAGATCCAGACCTATGGAGCTGCTATCACCACGCTTACCCAGGAATATCAAGATGTAAGTTGATTAAAAAAACTGAATTTCCAGCATTGTTTTTTTTCCATTTCAGTTTAGATAATGTAATAGATCAGAAGGTTATAAGAACACTGAAATAGATGTATCTTCCTGATGTCAAGCAGTACTTTCAGAAGAATGCAACTCCATGAGATCCAGCAGGCAGAGGTTATGTTATAGAGCCAAGGTCCTCCCAAAAAGAGCCCCCTGAAGGGCCACGGAAACTGGGTGGCCCTTGGTAACCAGTTCTTGAGATCACACTGGAACAATTTCAAACATGTCACTCAGAGAAGGCAAGAGTTTATCAGTGGGATAGGAAAAGGGAAAAGGTCACACTTGGAAGGGACAGTGGGTTCTTTCAGAAAAAATAGGGATGGCACACCCCACCTGCATTCCAATTCTATGGGGGTCCCAAGGCAGTTTCCAGAGAGTCCTACCAGGTCCACTTCCGGACTTTTGCCATCAGGATGGCCTCAGACTTCAGGTCCTCACTGCACATGATCTTGCCCAATGGAAGGGTGACATGTTAAACATCCAAGGCACCTGGGCACTTTGACCCATGCTGACTGGTTCTAATTGGATTCGTTTCTTACAGATTTTAGTGGTCACGAAGGCTTTGTTTCTCATAATAGTATCTTTCAGAGTTGTGGAAGATCTTGTCTGTGCAAAGGTCATAAATTCGCTCAGGAAAACTGGTCTTCTTACAGAGTTTTAGGGATGTGGCTGCCACACCTGCATTTCTCCAGCACACAACAGGTTGCTTCCTGAAAAATGTGCCATCTCCTATTGACTTAAGCCGGGCAGGGCTGTAGGTAAATTGCTTTTGAAAATTAAAACATGTGGGAGTCAGCACAGTGTGCCCAGTTCATAGAATTATCCCTTTAACCTCATGTTCCCACTGCTCATTATCTGTTTGTTATCTATCAATCACACCAATTTTTTTTTATTTTTATGAAACAATAAACTTATTAGTAAGTCAACCCAAAATATAGTACCTTCTCTATTTCAGCCAGAAAGGTTACAAAAGATGTAATCATAATAAAGAGCCTTGATCTCAAGGGGAGCTACTATAAAAGAGAAGGTAGGTAAACGATTGATTAGTATTCTAAAATCTGGTGCAATAAAAGGATAGAATGATGTCCAGGACTTCCAACAGCACTCTGAAAGCTTTCCTAAGTCAGGCTGAGGTAGATATAGCTGGAGATATGCTTGAAATATTCTTGAAGTAGGTGGCACTTGGCCTATGTTTGGAAGGATGGGTTGGAATAAGGTGGGTATAGAAGTATAAAAGAGGATTCTCGGACAAAGGAACAGTTCCTATCAATTCTCAAAAGCACACAGTAGGTTGATGTCTTATCATGTTGAACTATAATAAATACAATCACTTATGTTTGGGATAAAAGCAGCTATATGATAGATTGTAAGTGATCAGAATAGAGAAATATGTTTGGCAATGAAAAAAAAACTTGCTTGTGAATTTAAGGGGTTTAATCATTTTTCTAATGACTAAGAGATATAAAGTTTGAAAAATGATCAGACTTGCTTTCACAATATTAATTTTGGCTGATTATAAAGAACAAATCAGATGAATGACGACCCCCACTCAGTTCAGTACAATGAGTGAAAACGCTTACATTGATTTCAAATAAAGTGGCAAAGAATTGAATGAAGTGATAAGGATGAACCTATTTGATATAGTGCAGCTGAATATCATTTGTGTGATTCACCTGATGACCCAATAAGTGAATAGCAATGGGCAAGGTGAGAGAAATGCTGATCAAATAAGAGAGCAGATTTCAATATCACAACTAAGCATGTGGCTGGAGTGACTGACATACAGACAAGAGGCTGTTTTGGGAGAAAGGAAGAGTTTGCTATTACCTGGCATGGAATTTGAATGCAGTTCTAATGATAAAAAGCTAATAAACAGAATAGTGAAGCTGATGTTTAGAGTGAAGCTGATGTTTATAGAGGACTTTGAAATATTTTAAATATTGAAAACAATACTTAATTAAATTCCCTGAAGAAAAGGTATACTTTGATTGAGAAAGCAAAGATATGCTTTTTTAAGGTTTTTTTTTTTTTTGGAGTGGGGATACCAGGGATTGAACTCAAGTGCACTGAGCCACATCCCCAGCCCTATGTAGTATTTTATTTAGAGTCAGAGTCTCAACTGAGTTGCTTAGCACCAAGCTATTGCTGAGGCTAGCTTTGAACATGTGATTCTCCTACCTTAGCCTCCTGAGCCACTGGGATTATAGGGTTGTGCCATCATGCCCCACAAAAAAATAATAAACTTTTCACATTAATGGATGAATAGGAACTGGGAAAGCTAGTGAGGGAATGATAGAGGAAGTAATCAAATATTTGCCATAGAATTTAAAAGAAGAAAGTCCCACAAAAAATTGAATGGAGGAGGAAGGCAGTTGTGTCAAATGCCAAGTTCAAATGAGTCAAAACAAAAGGTTTCCTCTAAATTTGACTCTCTGGAAATCCCTTGTGACTTTATGGGTGAGTACTCCCTGAATATCATGGACAGGAGACCTTGGGTTCTGGGAATGATCAATAGCTAAAACAATCAGATGCAAATGCGAAAGAAAGCATTTTGAGGTTACCCAATTACAGACCACTGGAAGCCATCACCCAGGTTAGACCATTTTAATGAGAATGGCAGCCTGGCCTCTGAAGATTCTGGAATCCTTGTTCATGCTAGAAGCATTTTGTTTTTAGGAATGTAAACTCATTAAAACATAATAATTACCACTAACAGTTCTTTAATAAGAGTTTGGATACTTTGTTTCGTAAGAAAAGAACAATCTGAAGGAATTCATAAGCTAAATTATTCTTTTATCTGGAAATGAGGTCACCTGTTGTTGTTGACCACACCCACTACTGAGGGTATAAAAACTTTCTGGGACACTAGAGGACACACACGCAGATACATCTCCTTCGTTGTCAAACCAACTCACCACTCCTGACACCATGAGCTACTACGGCAGCTACTATGGTGGCCTGGGCTATGGACATGGCTGTGGCTGCGGCAGCTTCCGCAGACTGGGCTATGGCTGTGGCTACGGAGGCTACAGATATGGCTCTGGATTTGGAGGTTATGGATGTGGCTCTGGATTTGGAGGCTATGGGTATGGCTCTGGCTATGGAGGCTATGGATATGGATGCTACCGCCCATCATGCTGTGGAGGATACAGAATCTCTGGATTCTTCTGAAAAGCTAGCTGATTCTCAGACTCTTCCGCCACACACCTGCTTCAGTGAGGAAATGCTTTTCTGGATGTAGCAGAAACAACTAATATTTGTTGACTTCAAGCTCCAGAAGGCCCCGTCACCAATTCTAGTAGAAACTGGAATCTTCCCATTAAACCAAACTGTTCCCCACTAGCATTTCTTGTGACCATGCCTGACCTATGTTTAAAAATGATTTTTAATAAATATGTTTCACTGACCTAGCAAACATGGCTTCATCCATTCATTTCAAATTGGAATTTGGTATTTCCATCAGGATGTTAGATTTTTTTTTTCTCCTGAACTGATGTTTTGTTTCAACCATAAATTTAATTCAGTATGTATTCTCTACATGTCTCCATGTGCTGAGTAACATTCTAAGGGCCAAAGATATCGGAGAACAAGATAGAAAGAATGTTGCTTTCTTATGTTACTTCTCATTTGTTTTCAGTGATTTTTGTGCTTTTTATAATAGAATTCTATGCAGTATCACTTTTATGATTTGGTACTAAATAACTAATTATGATTTTTATTTTAGTAAATATGTTTGTRTTCTGAGGATTGTTATGAAAGGACAGTGAATCTATGGTGACCTCGGAAAATAAATTATAAATAAATATGAATTTGATGCAAAATATTATTTATAATAATGTATAAGGTGCCAATACTKATATAAAAAGTTCCATGTACACAATGTGGCATTTTCTCTTTTTTTTTTCTTTTGTTTTCATTCTTTTATGTGGTTTTCTTTATTTTTCTAATTTTCTATTTTTATTTTTTTAAGCATCAGAAATTTGTTAGTTGCTCAAAACATTACATTGATCTTGACATATCATATATCTACATTTGTTTCAAATGGGGTATGGATTCTTATCATTCCCACGTGTACAGATTGCAGGATCACATTGATTATTCAGCCTCATTTATACATACTGCCATACTAGTGTCTGTTGTATTCTGCTGCCTTTCCTATACCCTTCCTAGGCCCCCTCCCTTTCCCTCCCCTCCCTTCCTCTCCCTCTTCTCCATCTACCATAACTCATTTCTCTCTCTTATTTTTTTCTCCCCTTCACTTTAGATCCTCTTATATGTATTTTTGTATAACAATGAGGGTCTCCTTCCATCTTCCATGCAATTCCCCTTCTCTCTCCCATACCCTCCCACCTCTCATTTCTGTTTGATGGTTATCTTCTTCTCATGCTCTTCCTCCCTACTCTATTTTGAGTTGCCCCCCTTATATCAAAGAAGACATTTGGCATTTGTTTTCTACGGATTGGCTGACTTCACTTACCATAATCTGCTCTAATGCCACCCATTTCCCTGAAAATGCCATGATTTTGTTATTTTTTAGTGCCAAGTAATATTCCATTGTATATAAATGCCACGATTTTTTTTTTATCCATTCATCTATTGAAGGGCATCTAGGTTGGTTCCACAGTCTAGCTATTGTGAATTGTGCTGCTATAACATTGATGATGCTGTATTCCTGTATTATGCTGTTTTTAGAAGGGGAATAGCTGGGTTGAATGGTGGTGGTTCCATTCCCAGCTTTCCAAGGAATCTCCATACTGATTTCCAAATTGGCTGCACTAATTTGCAGTCCCACCAACAAAGTACAAGTGTACCCTTTTTCCCACATCCTCGCCAGCACTTGTTATTGTTTGACTTCATAATGGCTGCCTTTCTTACTGGGGTGAGATGGTACCTTAGAGTGGTTTTAATTTGCATTTCTCTGATTGCTAGAGATGGTGAGCATTTTTTCATGTATTTGTTGATTGGTTGTATGTCYTCCTCTGAGAAGTGTCTGTTCAGGTCCTTGGCCCATTTGTTGATTGGGTTATTTGTTWTCTTATTGTTTAATTTTTTGAGTTCTTTGTATAYTCTGGATATTAGGGCTCTATYTGAAGTGTGAGGRGTAAAGATTTGTTCCCAGGATGTAGGCTCCCTAATTACCTCTCTTATTGTTTATCTTGCTGAGAAAAAACTTTTTAGTTTGAGTAAGTCCCATTTGTTGACAATGTGGCATTTTCAAATTCAGGATGTTCTTTATGTATATCTAGGTCAATTTTCATTTTTTTTTTTTGGCACCCAGGGATGCTCAACCATTGAGTCACATAACCCAACCCTCTTTTGTATTTGATTTAGAGACAAGGTCTCATTTGATTGCTTAGGGCCTTGGTAAGTTGCCAAGGCTGGCTTTGAACTCACAATCTTCCTGCCTCAGTCTCCCAAGCTTCTGGAATTATAGGAATGTACCACAGCTCCCTGCTAATTTTAAATACTAACCATTTAAAGAATCTACTTTTCTTTCTTGACAAGTTAGTGACTTTGTTTAATTGRATTTCTTTTTTCCCACACATAGATTCAGGGTCTTACTCTCAAGAAGGTATTTCTCAAACATCAGCCTGGACACTGTCAGAATTAAAAAGTACTGGGAGTGCATTTACAATTTAGTTTCCTGCACTATGCTGTTCCATAATTTGTTTCCAGTAGGTTTACTGTAGGTCCCCAAACTTTATATCACTTCATACATCCTGGTAAAGTTCTATGTGCAGCCTCTTCCCAGTGTGCAATATTTGTATGCTAACTTTCAGGAGCTTTCAACTCTCCAGAGAACATTACCTATGAGTTGGTACAAGGACTTTGTATATTTAGAAGATTTGTAGCAAATTCAGCATGAGAATTATATCAAAAGACAAAATAATAAAACTGAAAGAGCATTCTGTTCCTGTGGAAAGTTCACGCTCTGTTTATTTTAAATAGGTTCTTAATAATGTTGTGAATGGAACCATTCAGTTCATATGTTATAATGCTTTCATGTTTAACTAGGTTTTGCCTAATTTGATGATTTTTTGGGAATGTCTATCTGGTACTTAGATTCCCTTCTTTCTAATATTGCTATTTTTAAATTTAAAAAAAATAACAAGTCCATCATTTCACACACATAATTTTTGTGATGAAAACATTTGAATCTACTCTTTCATCTTTTTGACACATAATTTTTTTTATTTGTTCTTCTTAGGTATACACAACAGTAGAGTATATTTTGACATATTACACATGCATGGAGTTAACTTATTCTAACTAAGATTCCATTCTTGTGCTTATACATGATGTGGAGTTTCACTGATTGTGTATTCATATATGAACACAGGAAAGTTATGTCCAATTCATTCTACTGTCTTTCCTATTCCCATTCATCGTCCCTTCCCTTCATCCCCCTTTGTGTGATCCAGTGAACTTCTATTCTTCCCTTTCCCTTCCCTTCTTATTGTGTGTTAGTGTTCACATGTCAAACAGAACATTTGGCCTTTCGTTTTTGATTGCTTTATTTCACTTTGCATGATGATCTCCAAATCTATCCATTTACCAGCAAAAGTCATCAAGTCATTTTTATTTATGACTGAGTGATATTCCATTATATATGCCACATTTTCTTTATCAATTCATGTGTTGAAGACCACCTAGCTTGGTTCCATAGCTTAGCTATTGTAAATTGTGCTTCTATAAACATTGATGTGGCTGTTTCACTGTAATGTGCTAATTTTAACTGCTTTTGAGGTATAACAAGGAATGGTATAACTGTAAATCGTGGTTCCATTCCAAGCTTTTTGAGAAATCTCCATACTGCTTTCCATAGTGGTTGTACTTATTTTCAGTGACACCAACAATGTATGAGTGTATCCTTTTCCCCACATCCTTGCCAACATTTATTGTTGCTTGATTTCTTGATTGTTGCCATTCTGACCGGAGTGAAATGAAATCTCAGTGTATTTTTAATTAGAATTTCTCTGACCACTTTTTTTCATATATTTGTTGACCAATTGCATTTATTATGTGAAGTGCCTGTTCAGTTCCTTTACCCATTTATTGACTGGGTTATTTGTTTTTTTTTTTTTTTTAGTGTTAAGTGTTTTTGAGTTCTTTATATATCCCGGAGATCAGTGCTCTATCTGAGGTGCAAGTGGCAAATATTTTTTTTCCTATTCTGTAGGCTCTCTATTCATGTTTTTGATTATTTCCTTGCTGTGGAGAAGATTTTGGTTTGATACTATCCCATTTATTGATTCTTGATTTTACTTCTTACACTGTAAGAGCCTTTTTGAGGAAGTCAGTTTCTAAGCTGACATGATGGAAATTTGGGCTTGCATAATTTTTCTAGTAGGTGTAGGGTTTAGATCCAATGCTTACGTCATTTATCCACTTTGAGCTGAGTTTTGTGCAGGGTGAGAAATAGGGGTTAAATTTTATTCTGCTGCATATAGATTTCTAGTTTTCTCAGCACCAGTTGTTGAAGAGGCTATCTTTTCTCCAATATATGTTTATGGTGCATTTGTGTCTTATGAGATAACTGTATGCTATTAAAAAAATCAATAGTTAAGCATGTCAAATTATTATGAAATAAAATTTAAAATCTTATTATGAAAATTAATTTACATCTAAAATTAGTCTTCCCAAGTTTCTTTGTCAGATCACAGAAATATAGAACTGGCATATTTGTGCCTATGATGGTCAGTGACTGTATTACAGTCAGTGATGGAGATCACTCATTTCTCTCTCAGAATACATGGGTTTTGAAGCCGGGTCTTTACAAAACCCTTACCTTCATGCAGTGCCTCAATGAACATTTGTTAAGGAAAAAAATGATTAACATAACAATAAAATTCTGTGATCCAAAAAGTTATTAAGTCTTACTCTTCCTCCAATGACAGAATTTTAAAAAAAGTTAGAAAAGTAATGACAAATTTATTTCCAAATTATCTTAAGAGAGAGAATTATAAGTTTAATTATTTTATTTCTGATTTTTCAAAACTGATTTTTCATAATTTCCTCCAGACAATTCGACTTAAACATGAAACTATATGAATCACACCAAAGCCTTATTTATTTCCTTTTATAACCTGAAGGAAATCTCTTAGCCTTTTATAATTGATTATGAACGCTCATAAGTCTACTTTCAAATTCTACGTTCAATCCTACAAATG